TTCTACTCCACTACAATTCAGAGGTTAACCTGGTATTTTTACTCCACTGCATTTATTTGAGTTACTTTGCAGATTCTGATTAATTATGTGAAATATAAACAACCCTTAAATCAGACTTTAGTTACACCTGAGTAAAATTCAGGGAAGGTGATTGTCAAGTGCCAACAATCAGGAGAGATATTTGATAGTTGGTGCTTGAGAAGACTAAACATGTATCTGCAATTGACATGAATGGAAACGAGTAATAAAGTATATTCATTACTCGTTATTCTCTACTAATAGTTAATTAAAGACTGTATATTATGGCTATTTTGCACATCCCTTTCAAGATTTTCAAAGGTTTATTGACATATCATATACACAACTACGGTGTAGTTATGCAATGAATGAAACACTTGGGTCACAGGTTCCTCAACAGTGCATTACAAGACATCTATCAATATGTGTGTACCTCCACCATTAAACTGTCATATTCTGCACATTTCTTATTCTATCTACATACATAAGAGTATAATTCATATGTATAATATCAGTTAAAATAAGTGCTTCAACATAGTTAACATTGCAGGAAAGCAATATATTAGACGTTAAGTACTTTGTCAGGCTTAATATTTATCTGTAGATAGATACCCCCAAGTTGTTTTCTTATTTAAAAGAAGACCTTAATCTGTTAATTAATGTTTAAATAAGGGTTAATTCGTTTTTCTGTTTTGCACCTCCTCCTATTAATATCTTTGTACATTCTGCACTAAACTGTTTTATTGTAGAGATCACTTAGAGAGTATCTTCTTGATTTTTTATATTCTATATTTATACTTTCCCCCTATGAAAGTATGTACTCTTAATATGTTTTTAATCAAATATAACAATAATTCAATAACGTGCTTTAACCACTAGGAGGTGCACACAAGGTACACACAGCCATAATAACTTTGTATTATAAATGTAGGACACTTTTGTTTTCGTACAACATCTGAAAATGTGTAGTTTTATGCATGCTTTCACATAATTTTACAGGATATTGCTATACTATTTCAGACTCAGTATTTACATTCTTACATTCAAAGAAAATCAGTAATATCTTTAAAAACTACAGTCCTTTTATATCAGCTGTGCACCGTTATGGTGTAAATATAACCTATCTGTGAATTAGATCAAATGTAAAAGTCAGCCGAATTAGTGTTGATACTGCAAGGAGACGTATTGTGTGAAGAGAAATTGAAGATGTTGTTTAATTGTTGAATATATTTATGATCCACGTCAAGTATTCAGTTTCGGTGGCATTTTCTCAGTTTTTCCAAAGGTCTTCTCATCAGGGCTCTATAAATAAAGAACTACGGCAGATCTGTAATATACAATGCAGCCGAACCGTGTATTACAATGCCGTTATGTGATGACTTTCAAAGAGAAAAGCAATAGCGCTCGGAATTAAGTATTATTTTATTCTTTTAAAATGTTTTCCAGATTTCATATCATATAAACACCAAATCCCAGCATGCATTGCGGCTAAAACATCCAATAAGCGAGCTTAAAACCATAGCTGAGGATCTTGGGTAATCGCTCGAAATGCCTACGTCTGTTTCCGGTTATTTTTATTTTGAAATTCAGTTCAATCAATCAATCAATCAATCAATGTTTATTTATATAGCCCAATATCACAAATGTTACATTTGTCTCAGTGGACTTTACAGTTTGTACAAAATATCAGTATGACAATACGACACCCTCTGTCCTTAGACCCTCACATCGTACAAGGAAAAACTTCCGGAGAAAACCCACAGTTTAAAGGGAAAAATGGGAGAAACCTCAGGGAGAGCAACAGAGGAGGGATCCCTCTCCCAGGACGGACAGACGTGCAATAGATGCCGTGTGTAAATTGAAAAGATAATACATTTGCAACATAGGTAGTCCAAATGTTTGGAAATGCATGTGTGTATAATAGGAAGATGAATCCACGAGGATATCCATCCAGGGCCTATGATCCAGGACCACAGCCACGACTCAAGATCCAGGGCTCGCGATCCAGGACAGAGGAGCGCAGGATCATCCATGACTCCGGATCCCGGCGTATATAGACACCAAAAAGAAAGACATTTGGGGAAGCTGGGTTAATCGGAACATGAGAGTACACAGGTATAGACAGAGAGAAGGAAGAAGTAAGATGTCCCCCGACAAACTAAGCCTATATCAGCAAAACTAGGGGCTGGATCTAATCATCCCTAACTATAAGCTTTATCAAAAAGGAAGGTCTTAAGCGCACTCTTAAAAACGGATAGGGTGTCTGCCGCCCGAACACAAACTGGAAGCTGATTCCACAAATGTGGAGCTTGATAAGAAAAGGCTCTGGCTCCCATTGTACTTTTAGAGACTCTAGGAACAACCAACAACCCTGCATTCTTGGAACGCAATGCCCTAGTAGGACAGTAGGGTATAATGAGTTCTTTAAGGTAAGATGGCGCCTGCCCATTAAGGGCTTTGTAGGCGAGAAGAAGAATTTTAAATTCTATCCTGTGTTCTATAGGGAGCCAGTGTAAGGCAGCCAGAACAGGAGTAATGTGGTCCCTTTTCCTAACTCTGGTTAGTACACGAGCCGCAGCATTTTGAATCAGCTGAAGCGACTTGACTGACTTCTTGGTACACCCTGATAATAAAGAGTTACAATAATCCAGCCTTGAAGTAACAAATGCATGGACTAGTTTCTCTGCATCGTTTTGAGGCAAGATATGCCTGATTTTTGCAATGTTACGTAGATGGAAGTAGGCGGTCCTTGAAATTGATTTTATGTGGGCGTTAAAGGATAAATCCTGATCAAATATAACACCAAGATTCCTTACAGTCTCACTGGAGGCCAAATTAATGCCATCCATAGTTAGTATATCCTTAGATAATTTGTTTCGTAGATTCTTCGGGCCAAGTACAATAACTTCAGTTTTGGTCGTGTTTAACATCAAAAAGTTTAAGGTCATCTACGTTTTTAAGTCCTTAAGGCAGTCTTGAATTTTATTTAGATGATTAATTTCATCAGGCTTGATTGATAAATATAGTTGAGTATCATCCGCATAACAATGAAAGTTTACAGAATGATTCCTTATAATATTGCCTAACGGAAGCATATATAATGTGAACAAAATAGGTCCGAGCACTGAGCCCTGTGGCACTCCATAGCTAACTTTGGTTTGCGTGGAAGATTCATCATTGACACGTACAAACTGAGAGCGTTCAGATAGATAGGACCTAAACCAGTCTAAAGCAGTTCCCTGTATGCCAACTAAGTGCTCTAGTCTTTGCAATAAGATATCATGGTCGATAGTATCAAATGCAGCACTGAGATCGAGCAAAACAAGAATAGAGACACGTCCCTTGTCAGAGGCTATTAGAATGTCATTTGTGACTTTAACCAGAGCTGTCTCTGTGCTATGATGTGTTCTAAAGCCAGACTGAAAAGCTTCAAATAAATCATTGTTTTTAAGTAATCACACAACTGTTTTGCGACCGCTTTCTCAAGAATTTTTGAGAGGAACGGAAGATTAGAAATAGGTCTATAGTTGGCTAAAACCTCTGGATCGAGGTTGTGCTTTTTAAGAAGCGGTTTTATCACTGCTACTTTGAATGATTGTGGAACATAGCCTGATAATAAAGACATATTCATAATATTTAATAAATAAGTGCTAATTAATGGAAAAACTTCCTTCAACAGCTTAGTTGGAATTGGGTCTAACATGCACGTTGATGGTTTAGAAGAGAGAATCATTGAATTTAATTGTTCAAGGTGTATGGCTGAAAAGCATTCTAGTTTACTATCTAGTGTAATATTAGAACTTACGTTTCCGGGAGCTGTTGATAACACTATACTGGTCAAAGGCAAGAGGTCATTAATTTTGTTTCTAAGAGTAACAATTTTATCGTTAAAAAAGCACATAAAATCATTACTACTGAGTGCTATGGGAATAGAAGGCTCAATCGAGCTGTGGCTTTCTGTCAGCCTGGCTACAGTGCTGAAAAGAAATCTTGCATTATTCTTATTCTCATCTATTAATGAAGAGTAGTAAGCTGCTCTCGCTTTACGCAATGCTTTCTTATATTCATTGAGAGTAATATGCCAAATTAAACGAGATTCTTCAAGTTTAGTAGAACGCCATATCCTTTCAAGTTGTCTCGACTTTTGCTTTATTTTGCGGGTTTCGGCATTATGCCATGGAGCTAGTCTATGTTGTTTTATTTTCTTCTTTTTCAAAGGAGCAACAGAGTCTAATTTTATTCGCAGCGCATCTGTAGCACTATCAACAACATGATCAATTTGGGGTGGTGTACATTTTGTATAAGTTTCCTCCCTTACATGCAGACATGCTATCGAGTTAAGTATTGGTGGAATCTCTTCCTTAAATTTGGCTATAGCACTAACAGATAGGTTTCTGCTGCAGGAGCTTTTGACTAATGCTTTGTAGTCTAGTAACAGTACTTCAAAAGTTCCTGACGGACGCCAAAAAAGCCCGAGATTATGGAATTAAACCAATAAATAAAAGCAAGGATAATTGTGTATTATTGGTGAGTAAATAACAGTGTGTTATTTTGAAAAGAATAACAAATTAGAAGGAAAAAAAGATTTTAAAAATACAGATTTCAGTATCCTGAGGCTCTGAGCCCCATTTATTTTCCTCACAGACGGCAACAAAAGTCCGAAATTATACGATTTCAAATAAAAGCAATAACTGTGGCTTGATATTGAGTAAGAACATGTTTTTATGAACCACACAGCTTCCGGTCTTCCTCGACCCGACCGGAGAAAAAGACGTGCTGCAGGCAGTAGAAATACATTGCTTTTAAAATCTTGCTGTGCAACACGAAAAAAAGGGGCAAATCGTGTTGGTGAACACGAATCAATAGATTAAAAATCGTGTTGGTGAACACGAAATGCCGTGAGACTGGGTTGAGTGGCCATGTCGGCAGGCCACATCATGTAGACAGCCAGTCACCCTCTGTGAGGCAGAGTCAGACCCACATTTGCGCAGCGTTGCGTTCACAATACATACATTAAAACAAAAAAAATCCTCAGGCCAGCAGGCCACTTAACAGGCCAGGCCATCGGGAAACCTCCCAGTCCTCCCGATGCCAGTCCGGGCCTGCTTCTGGGTGCAGACACAGGACGTGGTTTAGGATTTTCACACCAAAAGAGGGTAACGTAAAAACAAAGTCCATGGCTCAGTTGCCATAAATCATAATCCCAACAAATGCAGTGTGTGGAATACGACTTGAAATTATTTTTCAAGGACTTGGTGTGGTCTTTTTTACCTCAGCGTACACACTCTCTAGCTGAGCTGTGTTGTCTCAGTGGGTGCTACGGGTCCAGTGTGAGGACCAACCATTGCGTAGGTGGACAGAGACAGAGCTGAATCTTCATCATCTGTTGGATCCTGAGTCCGGGCTGGAGCTCCGAACTGGAACGTCACAAAACATTGATTTACCAAAGGTCATTTGTATAATATTGTATTTTTATGTCATATATTCCTCAAATTCAATACAATTCCATATTATTGACTGCAAAAGTGATAATGGTGTTTAACAAAAATGTAAGATTCTTTTGTATTTTCAGCTAAAAGGCATGACATTTTGGATGTTATTAATCAAAAGCAGAGTAAGGCCAGATAAGCACACACAAAAAAAGCATTTGCACTGCTAACACATACAGTACTTTGCATTTAGAGAAAGACACGGGGAATCAAGGTTTCCCTCTTCCGTTCATTTGTTCTGAGACAAAATATTAAAATGTCTGGTTCTCTTAAAACAGTTATCTGTACGTTACTGTGTTTAACTTTTCACACAGCTATCACACGGTTTGAAATCAAATGTATCTCAAGTGCAGCTTTCCCGTGAGAGGCTTCTGCTCTCAGTATGTGTTGTAGAAGAAAATGCAGAAGTACAAACCACTCGGCTCAGCAGGAAGTCACAGAGCTTTGATTAACGGCTGTGTGACAAAAATAGGAAGCAAAGCTGTGATCATGTTTGTGATATGCATGAAAGAAATGTCACTGTGTCTGCATTATGTTTACGACACCAGCATGAAGAGTTTTAAGAACATGACACCTTTTGAGTTTTAGAAGAAGGAGCATCGTTCCATCAGTGCATCAACTTATGGGAAAACTATATTTAAAAAAAGAAAGAAACAAAACACACACAAGCAAACAACAAATGCACATCACTAAGAAACACAGTGCAGTTTGAATACAGATATTGCCAGACAGAGACTCAGCAGCAGGTTTGGAGAGAAGCATCACGGTGCATCAGGTTAGTCGGACCCAAAGCTTTAAAAGAGCAAGCAGCTCAACCAGAAATGTGAGCAGCAGGACCTGGAACTGCAGGCAGAAGGTGGTGTAGAAAGGAGTCAGGGATAATATACAGTATATAGCAAATACATATATGCAGATACTCTGTGTGCATAGTGATTAGTGTGCTTAGTGTGCATAGTGATTAGTGTGCTTAGTGATTAGTGTGCATAGTGATTAGTGTGCACAGTGATTAGTGTGCATAGTGATTAGTGTGCATAGTGATTAGTGTGCCTAGTGATTAGTGTGCATAGTGATTAGTGTGCACAGCAGGCAATATAACTGTCTGAGGCTCCAGTTATGGATTTAGCTTGTTCTTCATATTCAGTCCAAGTCTGTTTAAATTGTTCAAAATCTAAAATTCAGTCAATTTGTGTTACTTTTCACTCAAAAGTAAAAACAAACCTTGTCTCTTACCGGAGCAGTATCATAAACTGTATTTCCGATAATCACTCTTTTACCTGCAGGTCAGTCAAAACAAAATATATGTGGATTTGCATTAATTTACATTTCATTTTGAGAGCTTCACCTTTAAAGATTATTACCTTTATAACATTTATATGACTTGATCTGCATCTGCATTTAGTCCAGATATTGTGTATGCGTCTAAATTATCTTTTAAAGAGAATATTATAAAGAGTTGCTGTATGAGAGGTTTCAGATATGTTTTATGCTCAATAGACAATGAGGATGTGGAATATGATGAACTTGAATAAAACACTTAATTCCCACAGACAGTAAAACAAAAATAAATGTTTTTGATAAAATGAACACTTAGACTTACTCTTTCGACGACACCAAAGTACTACACCAATGATGGCGAGAATGAGAATTGGGAAGAATACTCCAAAATGATGGGAACAGGGTTTGGTGGGGGAGGAACTGTAAATAAAAGCATAAGCCACATTATAATGCTTGGTTACATTCATAAACTTAGTGTTACTGCATCACATCCTGCCAGACTGTTAGATTTAATTACACAAACATATCTTAGTAGCAGACCTGATCTGTTATAAGAAATAATTGTATTTGTTTGCTTTAACCCTAATATGTTAAACCAAACAGTTATTCAGTTCAATGTGAAACTACCAACCTTCCAAAGGTCACTGATTAAGCAAATGTAAATACCACCTGGCTCTTGTTTGAACAAATGTGTTCTTAAGAAATCTTATGCTGTATGCTCTAAACTCCAAACCGTGTATTATAATCAGTAAGTCATTTTCTCTTTCAGTCTTACCAACAAGCTGGTGGCAGACGTCTTTGATTATTTTGGCGTCGTTGGTCCAGCTGACATGGTTGCTATAGTTACAGTTGATCGAGCCATTTGATTGGTGGACCTGGAGAAAAGTATCAGGGATCCCCTCTGACCGCTCTCCTCCCTCCTGACTGCAGGTTTGGTTGTCACACCTGAAAGTGCTGTTGATGTGAGAGTCCTGTGAGCTGCAGGTCACAGTGAAGCTACAGGAGGAAGAGTTTCTGGAGACAGAGTCCACTGTGAGGAGAGGGAGAGACGCTCGATCTGAGGAGGGAAGGAGCAGGTGAAGAGTTTTAGAAACAAGACCACAGAATCTCTTCATCAGTGTTTAAGAAGGTTAACAAACCTACCTTGAACTTTAATCTTGTATTTAGCTGCTTTTGTTACATCTCCTGAAAGCTTTGTCACTTCAGCAGTATAAACTCCACTGTCTGCCTCTTGGAGAGTCTTCAAGATCACAGAGAAATTGTTCACAGGAAACTCAACCCTTCGAGTGTAATTAGGAAATACATGTGGTTTTTTGCCATTGTCAACTGTTAATACTTTTTTTTTCTCATTAAATGTCCATGAAAAACTAGAAACATCCTGAAGAACATCAGCTGCCGTGACATTCAGAAGCACATCCTCTCCCTTCAGCACAAACACAGTCCCAGCACTGATCCCTGTAAAACAGTAGACACATCATACGGTAAATATCACACACAATATATGGTTATTTGGGTAATACTGAACATTTCTCTATTCCTACTATATGTAATTATAAAATACCTTCATTTTTACGAATAATCAAAGGTTGGAACATATTTTTAAACAAATCTTGGATTAGTTTTGACCCTTAAAGAAGTTTAGAGGAGTTTATCAGGTCAAACTTAGCCAACCTAAATCTCGCTTTTAGTATTTATGTTTCTTTTTCATATCACAAATTATTTCCATTCGGTCTCGTATGAAAAAGAGGGGACTTTCTCACACCTTGCTTATTTTTTCCCCCTTTTTTCCCATACTATTGTTCCCCAGATTTGACAGAGGCGAAGCATTTACTCCTTTTCTACATTAATTTGGTCATAATCTGCCTCAAACCACTTCCTGTGTTTTTCATCTGCTCTGAAGGTTAAAAGTTGCCAGCTCATTGAGTCCTATTGTGAATCCGAAAATGTTGAGAACACCAAAGTGTTATGTTAGAAATGTGTAGTTTGGGTACACAGCACATAGAAACTGCCAGATGCTAACTGGGCAATTTGCACAATCAACATACATATGATTAGCAATGATTACCATAATAATAGCCAATGTGGAATAAATGGTTTGGCCGATTTTGACAATTTTTGAGTTGTTAGTTAAAGTTTCTGTTGTATTTTACATTCACTTACACTGAATATATATATCCTTTACATCACCAGGACCTTTTTGCCTGGGTGAGGTTCCAACAGACATAACTGTATATATAAAAATATCTCAATACAATTTTACATTTAATTAGTATTACTACTTTATTAAATGACAATAAGCAGATAACTAATAATTGTATAGATGTATAAACACTACCTATTTGAAATATCAGTTTAAAAAAAGCATTACGTTTCTAACCTTATATTTTTTAACAACTTTGACTGTGAAAACAAAACAAGTTGATTTTGATTCACATAAATGAAGCTCATAAACGGCAAAGAGAAGTATAACAAACGACTTCATTCTGCAAATGTGTGGTATGCAGAAGTATCACAGCGTTTTGTCAGTTTCCTCTCTGAAAAGGATCATTGCTCATGTTTGAAACCAGCCTGTGTCCATATTCGACATGATTCGACTTTGCCTTTAAAACCGAAAATCCCCTTTATTAAAGCACTTTTTTGTATCTATTTTCCTCTCTCTTAAACACTATTTACATTCCAGGGCTCGATGTTAATTCAATACAATTTCACATTTACATTCAATTTCCAACATAGTCATTATATTCACCCTCGATAATGGCACACATTCCCATCAGAATAAAATCATTTTCAGTCACATACAACAGAACTTTCACATTCTCCGCACTCACCTCTGAAAAATTAAAAAGGGCTACGAAACATGTTTCCCTATTAGTTTGATAAAGTTATTAAATCATATATCCCACGGAAAGGCAAGCTTCCTCGATGCTAACAGTCACATTTGCAATCTACAATAACCTGTCTACCTCCATGTATGTGCAGCTGCTATGTGAAAGTGCCACAAATGTGAGGGCATATCCCTCCTTGACTTATTTTCTGTAAAGCATTTATTTCCTTGGATATATGTTTGCCTTTTTGAATGACATTAGATTTTAATTTTACTGTATTTCTCTGTCGCATTAAAGAAGCCCTATTATGCTTTTCCCTTTTCATTTGTTATATAGGTGTGTGCATGTAAATGGTCTGCAAATAGTCCCTCCAGAGAGAGTTTCTATCACACACCCTCGTTTTGTATTTGCCCCTCTCTTACTCATGCAGGCTTGAACCCTTTGTTGTAACCAGGTTTCAAAGTTAGGCTGGTTGGTTTGTGATGTCATTATCTTCAAACGTTATCTAATTTGCATGTCAATTTGCTTAATATCAAATCAAATCAAATCAAATATATTATAGCCCCAAATCACAAGAAATGCCTCAAAGGGCTGTACAAAGCAAAGACAAAAACAAAATACAAACGTCATAGCATAACAGTTATAAAAACATTACACAACATTATACATCAACATTAGTATTGCATGTGATAAAGGCATGTGACTGAAGTGATGGTAATGTTGAACGCAAACTAGGTGATGGAAATTAGTTTAACTGAGACAGAGAAACTGTCATTCCAGTTGGCTTTGTAGGAAGGAAGCATTTATATTTATATAACTCTTTTCTAACTGCTTTAAAACTCTAGATACTTAATTTAATTTAAGTGCTTTTAGTCATAATAAAAAACATATATTCCAAAGCTAATCTTCCTAAGGTGCAAATGTATATCATGTACTTAGATAAAGTGCTAACTCTGTCAATAACAGCAACAAATAAATGCCCCGACCATCAACAGACACAGAGCATTATGTACACTCAGGGCCGCCCCTCCCTACAGGCCAATCACGCAGGCTGCATGGGGCCCCGCCTTGCGCAGGGGGCCCCGCCCAGAGGGCCTCAGCTGCTGTGCGCAGTTCTCCGCTCAGTTCTCCGCTCAGTTCTCCGCTCAGTTCTCCGCTCAGTTCTCCGCTCAGTTCTCCGCTCAGTTCTCCGCGCACCCCCCGCGAGAGTGAGAGGTGACAAGGGGAGCACGTGTGTAACCCGACACCGTTGCAATGAATCGACATCTGACCAATCACGGCTTTGATACGGCCACTAGTGCAGGTGAAGAGATGTCGGTGAAAAGACAGTTTCAGTCCGGGGCAAGCAAGAGGGGGAAAAAAACCAAACATGAAGAAACTAGAGCATCACTCGAAGGTGGGTTATTGTATGAGTCAAATGTACAACTTGTGAATGTTGTATAAGTCAAATTGCCAATTGCCATATTAACACATCAGCTGCAATTCAGGACATGAAGGAGGCAGTCTCTGCAGAGCATACAGGCTAATGGAGTTGCAGTTATTTCCAGCATTCTTTATTTAACATTCATTCAAGTATGTGATGCCTTTTATCTGCTGATGTACAGGAGGAAGAGAGATACACTGTCTGTTTAGTTGGCTTACATAACAGTTCAAGTTTCCAGCCTAAAAAATATGGAGCATTTTTCGCCCTTATATTCATTTGTATGTCTATTTGCACATTTCATGGTGATGCTCAGCCTCTCCCCTTAAGGCAAGGCAAGTTTATTTATATAGCACCTTTCAACACAAGGCAATTCAAGGTGCTTTACAAAAAAGAAAGACATTCAGACAAAGGCATTTAAAAACAGTAAAAGATAATAAAAGAAACATTAAAAGAAAAAATACATGAATAAAAAGTACATGAATAAAAAGTAAACTTTTACTCCTAACAGTCATCATCATGTCAACCACAACACAGAGAAATACTGATAGAAATGTGTGTGTAGTTGTTGATACATTGCTGACAGAGGGAACTACATTTGAATACAGATTTAAGAAGTATCAGTTTTTGAGCATGTCATAAGCATGTTTTGTCTTGACTATTACAACTATATTATAATAAAACAATATATTTATATTATTGAATTGATTATGATTATTATTATTATTATTAGAAGTAGTTTATTTGCATTAATTATATTTTAATCTTTTTGAGGCTATTTGGCAGGAAATGCAGACGTATTCACCTGTAAATGCATACTGAACGACATACATACACATTTACCATTTACCTCACTGTATAAAAAAGTAACTGTGTTGATAATAATAATAAACAGGAATTATATTTGCAAAGTAGCCTACTTTGTTTCCAAAAACAACTGTCGGTTGGGGGGGGGGGGCCTCACCTCACAATGTCGCTTGGGGCCCCAAGTTGGCCAGGGGCGGCCCTGTCAGTACACTAAATATTCAATCTGAAATGGGTTACAGTTGATACAGTTGTGCTCCATCATCTCAACAGAAAGTGCTTTACCTAACCTATTACAGCAAGTGGTATTTTGCTTGTGTCTTTTCTCAAGTATTTCTGTATTTTTTATAAAGTTTTCATGACAGCAGTTAGAAAATACTTAATATAAATATTCATTTCATTTCAAACCTTTATTTATGCAGGTGAATCTCATTGAGATCATTGATCTCTTTTTCAAGGGTGACCTGCTGCAAGTAGGTTCCACATGAATACATATACATAACAGAAAAACAAAAAGGACATCATACAGCATATTTACAGCGACTAGTTTACATAGCTAGTAACATTTACAGGTTCCAACAGTTTCCGATTGGATAATATACAAATATAAATGCGTCCTTCCTACAGTACAAAGCCAACTGGAATTACAGTTTCTCTGTCTCAGAGACTTTTGGCAAACTGACATGCAAATTAGATACCGTCAGAAATGGATTCAGCGTCCTCAATAACTGCCAAACCAATCCAAGATTTTCCAAATCGGCCAAGAGTTTTTTAGCTATTGTTTACATAGTACGTTTATTTAATTAACACAATTTATTCTAATTGTGCAAATTGCCAAACATATGCAAGTTTTAATCCAGCAGTTTCTATGTGCTGGGGACTACACACTTCTATCATAAAACTTTCCAGGTTCAGGATGTTGGCAACCAGACCATCAAATATACAAAATATGCAAACTACACAAAAACACAATAGTGTTTAATAAAATAAAATGTTAATCTTCGTATGGATCAACATATTCATAAAAGTATAGATACTATTTAATAATTCTAATGACTGGGGATTTTAGTTCAAGTTTCTGCTGTATTTTATATTTACTTAAAATGAAAATATGTTTCCTTCACATCACCAGGACTTTGTTCCTGGGTGTGGTTTTAACCGACATAACTGTATATCAAAAATATCTACATACAATTTTACATTCATTAGTATTACTACTTTATTAAATGACAATAAGTAAATCATTAATAATTGTATACATTTCTAAATACTACCTATTTGAAAAATCTGATTAAAAAAGAATTAACTTTCTAATCTTATATTGTTTAAGTAGTGCTACAATACAACAACTTTGACTGTGAAAACAAAACAAGTTGATGTTCTTACCTTTTGATTCACATAAAGAAAGCTCATAAACGACAAAGAGAAGTGAAACAAACAACTTCATTCTGCAAATGGGTGGTATAATAAAAGTCACAGCGTTTTGTCAGATTCCTCTCAGCAAAGCTTCATTGCTCATGTCTTTGAAACCAGCCTGTCTTCATTCCCATTCCATGCTTCTCATTTAAACCCCTCCTCCCTCCTTTAATCTATTGTACCACCCTGTACAAGACATGACACAAAATATGGCCTTTAAAACACACAACCAGCTTTATTAAAGCACTTTCTTTTAGAGGTTTATATCTTTTTCTCTCTTAAACACTATTTACATTCCAGGACTCGATGTTAATTCAATACAATTTAACATTTACATTCAATTTCCAACATAGTCATTATATTCACCCTCATTAATGGCACACATTCCCATCAGAATAAAATCATTTTCAGTCTCATACAACAGAATTTTCACATTCTCCGCACTCACCTCTGAAAAATGTAAAAGGGCTACGAAACATGTTTCCCTATTAGTTTGATAAAGTTATTAAATCATAAATCCCACAGAAAGGCAAGCTTACAATGCTGACAGTAACAGTTGCAATCTACAATAACCTATCGACATCCATGTATGTGTGCAGCTGCTATGTGAAACTGCCAGTGGGTGCGGAAAGGGCTCTGTTTGGAGAGAGAGAGAGGAGGAAGAAGGAAGCTGACGGCCCGTCCACACAGCGGCGTGCGTTGAAGCTTCTAACGCTTCTGCCCGTTCACTTAGAATGGGGTGACGTCACTTTTAGCCGAACTGCATTTTGGGAAGCGACGTGGAGCGTTGCTGGCGTAGCTGGCGTCAAAAGTTGAGCAATGTTCAACTTTTGACGCCTCGACGGAGGCGTCAGCCGATGAAATCCCGTTTATTCAAATCTGCCAGTACAATCGCTAGCCAATCAAACCGCGTGTATGCTGGGAGAAACTGCGCAGGTCATTTCCTCATATTCAAAAAAATTGAGGGGAAATTCATTGTAGCGGTAGTGAATCACCCGGTGCTGTATGATCAGTCTCTGTTCATCTACCGGGATACAAACCGGAGGAGCGAGGCATGGAGGGAGGAGGCAGAGACAGTGGGTGAAACTGGTAGGTTTTCGCCTGTTTGGGGATTTTATATCCAGTTTACTTCATTTTAACATTGCTATTGCTTTGTATGTCGGGGGCGGGAGATTCATGTGATTGGTTGTTGGTCGTGTTGCTCGCAAAAAATCCCCAAGCTTCAGATACGCCCACCTCCAAGCGTCAACGCACGCTGCTGTGTGGACGCTCCAGGGTCCTTCTCACTTCGGTTAAATTAAATCAATATTGCTTCCCTCACTTGCGTCGTTTCCCTGCGTCTAGTCCCTCCCACCAGGGAAGCATGGAGAGATGCAAGGAATCCACGAGAAGCAGGGAAATTAGTTTTAAGAGCAATGGGACGTCCTTTCCTCCGGAGCGTCACGTGAAGCGACGTCCGTTTGTGATGACGCCGCACAGCTGATCGTCTGACAGCAGCTCTGTCCCCGTTATTTCCACACACCCCCGCCTCTGTTAGTACACATTTACTGACACAAACATTTGTATCATCTGTTGTAGACCCCAATAAATAAAAATAAAATAAGAACTAATTCTCAAAAAAGATAAACGCCATTCTTAAAATGTATAAACGAACATTAGTTGGATTAATATTGATTAGAGTGCACAATAGAAATTAAATAATTGAGAGAAGAAAAAGATATATGTTATCTATCAAAACCCAGTTAGATTAACATTCATTGGATTGCACACTTTGTTTGTTTGTTTGTTTGGATATGTAGCAAATTCACATTTTAAATAGCACTTAATATTTTCAAAAAATGAATAAAATGATTTTTGACCACTTTGTTGTTCAGATATATCACACGTATTTTTCTCCCACGTTACGTTCGTTATGAACGTATTTTAAAGACGTTTATTTTCTACATATCTTTGCCATTTATTGTCTTGCTTATAATAATGATATTAGTCATTTATAAATATCACTTTAAAATACGTTCATAACGAACGTAACGTGGGAGAAAATACGTTTCTAGCTAAACGTAATTGAGAATGCAGTTTAGTTCTGTGGGAACGTACTTTTTAGGAGACAGGGTTGTGGATGCTGGTCACAAATATCCTTAGGCAAAGTAAGGCAAGGCAAGGCAAGGCAAGTTTATTTATATAGCTCTTTTCAACACAAGGCAATTCAAAGTGCTTTACAAAAAATGAAAGAGATTAAGAAAATGGCATTTAAAATCAATCATTAAAAAGAAAAGCTAATAAAATAAACATTAAAAGAAAAAATACATGGATAAAAGTTACAGTGCAGTCAATTAAACATTAAAAGTAACACACTCTTTCACTCTTGTTGGCCTCTTATGATGCTGCTGTCTTTTAATATATCATTATTTCTCTGCCGCTAGTTCGTTCCTCGCAGATTCTTCAGTCTCATCAGCCTCATCCTTCCATCAGTCCCAGTCAACGCCTCCAGCACACTTCCAGTGTCTGGACTCCATATTGAAATTGTCCTGATGCTGTAAGGGTGATGCCCCACACAAAATGACCCCTCTAAAGTCTGAGTGCCAACTGCCAAGGACCTCATATTATGTCTGTCATTAATGTTACATCACCCATTATAACACATTTTTTTCCTTTTTTTCTCTTCTCTTAACTGAATAGTCCTGTCTTTAAGTATAATACAATGTAAAGTCCTTTTCCTGCACCATTTTAAGGCTTCAAAACAGGCATTTTGACTGTATGTGTTTGGAGAAATTACACAATCAATGGCCCAGAATTGTCTTGGTGCTTGAAGAAATACAGACTGGTTAAGCCGGCCAGGTTATATATATATATATATATATATGCCTTTTTTGGAGCCCTTTTTTGCAATATTTATTAAAATGTCACTAGTTTTTTAAATAAACCACTATCCGAGGATAATACAAGCAACCATAAAACACCCTTTAGCTAGAGAGCCATTGAAGCCCATGAATAATTTATCCTTCCACAAATCTTTTCATCCCCTGTATTAATAAAGTCACGTGTTTTCAAATTCAAGTTAAGGCACTATCTGTGCAGAACATTACAAATATTCTTCATTTGCAGTATTTTATTTTAAAAGTATTCAGAAAGACTGCATCAATTATATGCTATATATATATAATATCAATATTGTTAACTTCAACCAAAGTCAATTTAAATAGTGGGCAAAGATGGATTAATTGCCATACATGTGGTGTTTGATATAGTTTACGTTGAATTTCAACTATTTTAGGCAGAAAAACGTATATATATTGACTAAAACTTTTTTTTACAATTTACTATAATTTAGGAAGGTTTTTGTGAGAAATCATTTCAAAGTAAACTTTTTTTCATTTTATATTTAAATTTGAAATGTTTGCACACAACATTATTAATTTATACATTTTTATAATTTAAAAAAAATTATGAATCCATTTATTTTGTTTCCTTGCGGCTGGGGAAGATATATCAGCATGTAGTTCAACATGCAAATATTCTAATGCAAGTAAGTATAAGTATAACATGGAAAAGGAAATAAATTAGGTTTCATAGGAGGATGTGGATTTATTTTCTCTCACCTTGTAAGTGCACAATCAAACAATCTATAATTTAGCTCTGGCCTTCACTCACAAAAAAACATTTTGTTGAATTGGACACATTTTTTGAAAATCTATTGACTGACATGCAATGACTGGGATTGATGGAAGAATCTGTGAGGAATGAACTGGAGCAGAGAAATAATCATATTTTAAAAGACAGCAGATTCATGAGGCCAACCAGAGTGACAGAGTGTGTCAGTGTGCTGAAGGATAGACAGCAATCCAGGCCAGACTCTATAGACTTTACAAGGGGTAAAAATGCTTCTGCCGGATTACTGACTGGAAGTATTGCTGATATCATATCTACCATATCCTCTTAAAATACTCTGTCCAACAATATCAGTCTCATGAAGAAAGGTGTGTTAACGCTTATTCAAAATAGCAGAGAAACATGCATTCTTGTTCTCAGGAGGGGACATTGACAGAGGAGTACTGGAAAAGTACACAGTAAGTACTTCATAGTACTTGTGGGGGTAGTTTCAGTAGTGAGTCCAACAGGATCAATCTCACGAAGAACTTAATGGCAACAAGAAATAATTCCCTCATCAAACTTAGCAGAAGTGGCTGGATTGTGTTCTCAGCGGGGGACTTTGACAGAGATTCCTCAAACAATACACAGTAAAGGTACTTCAATGTATTGTTAGTAGTATGCTAACTAATACAAAGTCAATCAGTATCAATTTCATTAAGAACTAATGGTAAAATTATATTTGTATCATTCATCAAAGATAGCAGAAAAACATGCATTATGGAGGGGACTTTGACAGAGGATTACTCACAAAGTAAACAGTCAAAGTTCTTCATTTTATTTCTGGTAGAAGTCAAACTAGTACCGAGTCCAACAGTGTCGCGTTGTGATAGCTAAATTCCCCTTGTTTATAATAATCACCGGTCCTTCAGCAGGATACTGTAGTGATTCAAGGTGTGATTTTACGAGTGCTTTTGTTTTGAAATCACTTCAGTGAGTTTCGCCTCGCGCCTCGCTCAAAGGACCATTTGACCATTTAGTAAGGTCAAAAGCAAAAAGCAAAAACGCCTCTCAGACGCTCTTCCGTTTACGTGTCTAATAAAGAAAAACAATTGGACGGTAGATACACGGATTACTTCCCCATGCAGGCTGCAGCCCACACTGTTTGGTTTGTGATGTCCTTATCGTCAAACGTCATCTCATTTGCATGTCAGTTTGCCTAAAGTCACGGAGACAGAGAAACTGTCATGCAGTTAGCTTTGTAGGAAGGACGCATTTATATTTATATAAGTATTTTCTGACTGCTTTAAAACGCAAGATATTTAATTTGTCAGTGCTTTTAGTAATAACAATCATATATTCCAAAAATAATCTTTCTAAGGTGCAAATGTACATCATGTACTTACATAAAGTGCTAACTCTGTCAATAACAGCAACAAATAAGTGCCCACACCATCAACAGATACAGAGCATTATGTAGGC